CACCTTCCTTTTGAGATGGAACCATATCAGTTGGAATCTCCTGCGACCTGCCGGTTGATTCGTTCCCAAGAGCTTCGCCCGACGTCCGGAGCTGCGAGGCTGTCTCCGATCTAACCAAATCGTCATTTGACCCATACAGATCGAGCGTAGCCGCGAACTCTTCATTCACAAACCGAGAAGGAAGAACCAGCGGAGACAGAGTGAGATCAGCATCGGATAAAGGGGGTACATTCAGTTTGGCAACGTGGGCTTCATGCTCCTTTTCTTGACCGCCGAAGACGTCAATCAGCTCCTGCGTAATACCAACCTTTTCCTCCTGGATCATCTCGAGACATTTCCTTGTCCCAGAAGCCTAATCGAACAAGCTTTGTTCCCGGTCAACGAGGTTGCGGCGTTCAAGGTAAACCCGAACACGATCAAGACAACGGTTAGCCTTCTCGATCATAGCCGCCTCAACACGCGCCCTTTCGCGCGTAACCTCCTGGCTCCGCGAGTCCCTCAGACGCTGCCTTTCATTGATCAGCTTTTGCGTCACGGCATCCCTTTCAGCCTGAAGCTCCGCCTTCTCTTGCTCCAGTGCGGCATTGGCCTTCTCAAGACTCGCTTTCTCCCGCGTGAGCAGTTTCTTCGCAGCACGGTCAGCCTTCAATATCTTCTCGAATCCGGCAAACTTCTCACGAAGGATCTCCTTCTCATTCTTGTAGTCGGCCTTGATCTGTTCGATGACGCCGAGTCTCGTGCAAGCAAGCTTCTCAGAATTCTCGAGTAGAACCATCGTCTGTTTTAAAGTCCTATCGTACTTCTCGACGAGGACGTTCATGCTTCCATCAGCCTAAAAGCGAACAAACGTCAAGAGATCAGTGTCTGAAGGGAGTAGAGATAAAACCATAATCATCGAAGCTTTAATCAAAGAACATACCCGCCTGTTCGCCAGCGCTGCTTCCGTATACTCGTCCTTAAAGAAAAGATCTATAACTTGAGGCATCTCGACCGGTCCACCTCGGATCTGTCGAGTAAGATCTGCGCACCTATCCGGATTGTGTACTAACGGAGTCTTCTCATCGTATGAGAAGTTCACACGGTCCACAAACTCAACCAAGGGTCCCTTACCAAGCGAACCTTCGGATCGACTCCTTCTCTCAAGAACATCGGTTCGAGAGGGATCTACCGGCCGACTACGCGCCTCAATCTCATCATTGACTTTCGACGTTCCCTTAGTGTCGTTGACAACCTTCTTCTTCTTTTTCTTCCTCGGACTTTCTCCCGGACCTTTTTCTTCAAGGTCGTTCTCGGCCATCGATAGAATTTTCACGGGATCTCTTTCCCTTCTCCTTCTCCCCGACATCCGAACCGCCTACATGCCCTTCGAGAGGAGTATCCTCTGTCGACGATGGTACTTTCTTCGTTGCTGGGCTCTTCCGCTTTTTCTTCTTCTTCGATTCGGGAGCCGGCGGATCAATGTCAGTAGACTGATCAGTCGGGTTCGGATCGAGTGGCTGAGAAGCTTCAGCATCGTTACCCCCAGCCGTTGCGACCTTAGAAGTCGTCTTCTTCAGCATCTGGAGTTTCCCCTTAAGCAAAGCACTCAAATCTGGTCTTACCGACATCTCGCTTGCTTGAGTAGTTTCTGTTGTTTCCTGGTAAACAAGGACAAGCGAGACTTGCGTGCCGAGACTATCAGTGGCTGTCTTGATTCCCAATCGACTGCGAAAGCAGAATGAAGAAAGATAACACTTAGTCTGTCAGCAGAACCTAAAATTGGACAAAAATCTTTACCTCTCTCTATGTGAGCCTGTTGTCGACGAATCCACTCACGACTCAGATCCGGCCAATTTAGATGGCTCTGGGTTGCAATGGCCTGTGCGATCTCGAAGAATTTTTTTGGGTACGCGATTGTATTCGGAAGACGACCTGCAGAAACAAAAGGCAAGATTAGATAACCGACGACCATAGCAAACAACACGGTGCTCGTTTTCTACCAATTTCTTTGTTCCATAACACCGGGAAGTCGTCTTCAATGGCTTCCACAAACGCGTATTTATCGGCTTTGACGTAGAAGTACGAACGCTGCCAGTTCGTTGTCTTACGGGGCTGACCGGTCAATACGTTATAACTTGGACGCATCTTCACAGAGAACAAACCTCCTCTTTCCGCCTTTGTAGAAGTCAATTCTTCGAAGACTCTCACACTCATCGGGACGTCTATCTCCGCAGCCATCACCATCAGCATAACAGCGTTCCGAATCGAACCTATCTTCAACTGGCTGATCGCTACTCCCCGCCTCCTCGCATACGCTGAGATCAAACGCGGGACTGGAAACCAGAGCTTCGAGTCATCCTCGAAGTACGACTCATACAGATATTGGAAGCCAACTGGAGGGGACCAAGGCCTCTGCTCCTGGGTAGGAATCGCGTAAGTCACGCCGGCTCCTCTGGAGAATTGCAAAATACTTCTTACGGTTGAGTGATTAGATCGAGTTCCAAAGACATTCTCCCAACGTTGGCCTTCTGCCCAAGGATCCCGCGCCGATTCCGGAGGAAGGGCATTTAGCTCCTCGAAGGTGCCATCAAGATGGAGAATGGTCGGCTTGCATTCGATCAAATCGAATCTAACGATTCGATGTCTTAACCATAGAGTTCGAGGGCTCTGATCCGGAGACGCCGTGTCCTCACCATCCTCATCGGAGCCAGAACTCTCGGCATCCTCTCGCTCAGACTCGCCACCCGAGCGACTAGAATCTCCCTCCTCACTCTCTTTTTCGCCGGCTAAAACACCCTCCTCTCGCTCAGACTCGCTACCCGAGCGACTCGAATCGCCCTCCTCATTCTCCGATTCAGCGGCTGAGTCTTTATGAGGCTCGAGCCTCTCCCCAAGTAAAGCGTCGCGATGAATTAAGTTGAAGTCTTCAATCGGACTTCCATTCGCTGTAATATCATCGGTATGACCGATGGCACATGCAATCCCTTTGCCTTTTTCCTCACGAGATAATCGCCCCGACGAGGCCATAACCCGAAGCAGAATACTTAGAGAGAGAAAGCTAAAAGTAGAGAGAAGGGAGAGAAGAAGGTACCTGAGCTTGCAGAGAAGAATAATGAAAGAAGAAGAGAATCTACCTATTTATAGCAAAGTCCTAAGGCACGATTCTCTAAGTGCAATTAATGCATTTAAACGAGCCTAAATAAGCCCATTATCCGAGACCTATTAACCCTTAACCTAACTCAGTTTGGTTAAGCCCTTAAAACCGGTTTACTCCAACCGAGATTAAACCGGAGCTAAACCGAGCAGCGACTGAGATTGAACCAGAAGGCGGTTAGAAGCTGAACTTGCATCTCAACTAGGATGACCTACTCGAGCTAAGTGTTACTCCACGAGTAATGACTTAGTTAATCTGCTAGACAAGTTGAGATGTGATGCCTTTACGCGACAATAAAAGACACACTAGTCGCGAGACTAGATGCGCTCAAGGTGTCGCCTAAACACACTCTCACAGGCATCAACTTAGTCATGCTACTAGATAATCTCAAGATCACACCTTTACGCGACAATAGGAGACATCCTAGTCGCGAGACTAGATGCGCTCAAGATGATCGCCTAAACCCGCTCTCACAGGCATCGATCCAGTCGTGCTACTAGACGGGCCCAAACTGACGCATTCATGCGACAATAGAAGACATCCTAGTCGCGAGACTAGACATGCTCGAGGTGTCGCCTAAGTGTGCTCGTGATCGACGTTCTAGCCGCGAGACTAGACACGTCCGAGGTGTCGCCTAAACGTGTTCATGATCGACGTTCTAGTCGCGAGACTAGACATGCTCGAGGTGTCGCCTAAGTGTGCTCGTGAACGACGTTCTAGCCGCGAGACTAGACACGTCCGAGGTGTCGCCTAAACGTGCTCATGATTGACGTTCTAGCCGCGAGACTAGACATGCTCGAGGTGTCGCCTAAACGTGCTCATGATTGACGTTCTAGTCGTGAGACTAGACATGCTCGAGGTGCCGCCTAAACGCGCTTGTGATCGACGTTCTAGCCGCGAGACTAGACACGTCAGAGGTGTCGCCTAAACGTGCATTCATGCAAGTTTCCCCATTTGATCAAACCTGACCACAAATTCACTTAGAGTCCTACGGACTCATAAGTGAACTGGGGGGACTTATTGTAGGAGATGGGTTATACCCCTCCACAAGGCCCATCAAATGGAGAAACTTAGCCCAGCATGACAATATACTCGGCCCACCGGGTAACATCAAAACGACTCGACATGAGACGCGTTTAGTAGCGCGACTGAACGTATTCTAGAAGAGTCGGCGGAAGTACGACTTACCCGGACTACTAAACGGGCCTAGCAATAATAAGGCCCAACAAGGCTCGGGTAAACTAGGGCGAACACGAAGAGAGGATCTATAAAAGGAGAGAGGCAGCAAAGGGAAAAGGGATCCGGAATTCGACATACTCACTTGGCGGCTAGATCTAGGATTTCTTAGCGACTAGGTGGTTAGATCTAGGGTTTACTCACCTTCCCGTTTAGTCATCTTCTCGTTTACTCACCTTCCCGTTTAGTCACCTTCCATTTACTCACCATCTTGTATTTCCGGCTAGTCCGCCTCTTTACTCTTCTCTTCGTAACTCCTTGTTCAGATCTAATAAAACGTCTTTGTTCGCCCTCATCTCTCTCTTTATATTGTTCAAACCATTTTCACCTCAAACACCTCGCAACCTTTTTTGCTCACGTCACTTCCCGAAGACATCGTCGTAGACATCTTAGCACGTGTACCAAGACACGACTATCCAGTTCTCTCCCTCGTTTCCAAGCACTTCAGGTCACTTGTTACGTCACCTGAGATATACTCAAGAAGATCTTTGTTGAGTTGCACCGAGAACTGTCTATATGTTTTCCTCAGCAGCGGTGGAATGTCCGGAAAGAAAACGGCAGCCACTGCTTGGTCCATATCTCTTCCCTTTTGGATTTGCCTAGCGGTGAAAGCTTTGTCGCAGTGGGTTCGATGATATATGGGTTTGGTGGGAGGGAACTGGGAATGTCATCAAGTGCGTTTAACATCGATTGTAGATCGCACACCGTGCAACCACTCCCCAACATGCCTATACCCATGACTAATACAGTTGCTGGCTTTCTCGACGGGAAAGTTTACGTACTTGGAAACTGCAGTATGAAGTCACAGAGTATTGTGGTGTTCAATACAGAAACAAAAATGTGGGAGCCTGTGGTGATAAAGCCAGACACTACTACACCACCTAGGATGATGTGGGTCAAGGGTTGGATGGGAGTGATGGCTGATAAGATATACATGAAGTACAATGGGAACAAGCTTGTTTACGTGCCAAAGGAAAGTAAATGGGAAACAGACCATGTACTGAGTTCTAAGTACTATGATGGTGGTAGTGCGCAGAACCGGTCCTGAGATTTTGGGGGCCCTATACGAAATTAGAAAAAAATATTAATTTTTTAGTTAATTTTTATATATATTTTATTAATTTTATAAAACTAATTTTTTTTGTCAAAAATTTAGTTTAAAACATATATTTTCTTTATAAAAAAAGCAAAGTTGTAAGTTTAATAACATAAATATATCTTCACATTTTAATTGTACTAATAAATTTATTTATTTGAATTATATTAACAAAAAATATTTTATATTTAACACTTTTATATATAACAAAAATATTATTTTTTAAAATGTGGGGACTCCATAAATTAGGGGGCCCCATGCAAATGTTTCACATTACTCCCCTCAGATCCGGCTCTGGTAGTGCGTGCGTCCTTAATGACGTTATGTACTACCACGATAGTTTTGAGAAGTGTTTAAACAGGTATGATCCGAAGGAGAGGCGCTGGGGAGTGGTGAAAGGTTTGGATGAATTGTTGGCTGAGATAGAACATCAATATTTCACGATGAGTGTGCCGTATGCTCGGAATCTGGTTTTGTTTTTTATGAACGAGAAAGAAAGATCGAGTGGTGAAGCAACAGTGAAGATTTGGTGTGCGGAGATTTCGCTGGGGAGACATCAAGGAGGTGATGTTTGGGGTAAAGTTGAGTGGTGCAATCAGGTTGGGGTTGCTGAGACAATGTACTTTTTGAGACCTATAGTTGTTATAGTTTGATGCATGAACTCTCTTTTTCATATATTAAACTAGCTTATCTTGTTTTTTTCTTCTTCTTCTTTTATGTTTTCAGCTTCCCCCAAATGTCTGGATGAGTTTTCTTTTTATTAACCAAACCGTTTTCATGTTCTTCTTTTATGCTTACTAAATCTTTTTTCATTTCTATACAGGAGAAATATATTTTTGAATTTTTTAATTCTTGCTCTATATTAGCAACATCTACTTGTTAAGGTTTGTTAATGTGTGTGATAGTATTCAAATGGAACATAAAGGTCCAGTGCTCAAAGAAGCTAGGGCAAAGGCAAAACTCTTTGTAGAGAAAAACCACGAGAGTCATTGCTTTAGCTCAAGGTCTTTACTTGTTCATTACCGTGGTTTTGGTTTATCTTTTTCTTTCATTTGGTCTTGGAGATAAGACGAGCCATTTCTACATTTTCATACCCAAGGGGGGTGTGGGACTGTGGACTTGTTGCCAGAGGACTTGCTATCAGCGCAGCCTTTGTTGAAGAATGCATATGGTTCGATGCAGATGAGAGTCATACATATGGTTTCATGTAAATAATCTTTTGGTTTAATTAGTGAAGAAATGAGGATCCACCAGCTGAGAATTTATACTTCACCAGTCATGTTTATATGTTAAGGTTTTTGGAGTAACTCTTCTTGAGCATGAACGGATTAACAAGATTTTCATCTTTATACCTAGCACTTAATCACTAAGCATGACTATTCAAGAACGTACACAAGAAAAGTAAACTGAGTAAAATCTCCAGACGGAGTAAACAAGCTCACACAGAGCGAAATGGAAAGTATCGCCACAGGACGTTAACCAAGCTCTCTGTTTCATCCACAGGCATCAGTGGAGAGAAGGGGTTGAAGCCAGACCGGTCCAAAAGCTGCAATGCATGACTGGTAACGATGAGCTGTCGTAACGGAGGAGGTGACTGCACCTGCTGCATATTGCAACTTGAATTAGCGTGCTCTAGATTCCCCAAAAGCTGAGTATTGATCTTGAGGTGTTAGTCTGGAACTGAGGGAATTGCCATCGATTGCAGAATATTTCTCGTACCTCCATTGAGTCAGATTCAAAAATCACGGTAGACTTATGAATTAACATAACACTAGATTTTAACCGCGCAGATTTTATTTTCATTTTATATACATAAATATTTATTTTACATTATTAGTGACGGTACTCATATATTTAAACGTTTATAAAACTATTTCGAACACGATAATTTATAGTTCACATGTGTCTTTTTTGTAGTTCACATGTTAATAACAATTATTTCAATCGTTTCTTATTATATATTTATTTTCTTGGATTTGTATTAAATTATTAAATAAAATAATAGATACAGGTATGAAAATTATTTTATATTTAATTTATACTAAATTAGCAAATTTTTATGTTTTATTTAGATAATATAGTATTGTATATATAAAAGTTTATATGATAACTTTAAACATGTACTATATAGTTACTAATGTTAACCTATTATGTGCATTATATCTTAAACGTTAATATTTTTTATTAATGAAAATAAAATAGATTAATTTATCAATTTAATACAATTATACTATACTATTTTTAATATGATACATTATGATTTATAAAAGATAGATAAAAAGGATATAATTTTTTTTATAAAAATGACTAAATATATATTAATTTATAATTTATATTCTTTACTAATTTGAATTTAGTGTAATATTTACATATTTTTAAAAAAATTAAGATTTTCTATCATAACTTTATCTACTGATACAAGTTGTCATTTAAATTTGGACTATTTCTAGAGTGTTACAATCATATAGTTGATTGAACCGCATTACTTAAATTAAACAGACGGTTATTTATGTGGTAGAGTCTTGGGCTTACTTTTGTTTTTAAAACAAATTATATGATTTGGTTTTTGCGCTTAGTATTAAGAAAAAACTCCAAAAACACTTTGAATAAACTTTCCACTATAATGGATCAAAAAATCAATTACTATTTTCAGGTCTAAAGGTATTTAATAATTTTAACAAAACAAAATTGTTTATTATTAATCACTTATTTAAATTATATCTATTATTGTCATTAGTTCAATGGATTTTTTCTTAAAATGATTATGTTCTTTTCTTTTATATGATATTATTTAATTATATCGTATTAAAATGTTAAACAAAATTTTATCATAGTATAACTTAATTGTCATTTGGTAAAATGTATCGTTGTCAATTATCTTTTTATTATTATTTTATATTTGAAAAATGAATATTCTTTCTAAAAAATATTTGTAATTATATGTAATTTTTTCGAAAATTAATTAATTAAATTTGTTATCATCATTAAAAATAATTATTTTTTATATAATTTTAATGTTTGTTTACAAATGAAAACTTAATTAAATTTAATATCTAATTATACTTTATGATAATTAGAATTTTAATTAATCAATTTTGGAAAATAAATTTTAAAAAGATTCCGACAAAATATTTCATAAATTTTTTAATAATTTTTTAAAAAATATTCCTTAAAATAAATATATATATATTCTGATTAAAAGTATGTAAATATTAATATTGTTTTTAAGAATGTTCCAAACCAAAAAACAAAATAAGAAAACTCAAACCAAACCCCTATTCATAAATAACTAAACTATTAATATATTTTAGAAACCAAAACCAAAATTTACAATGGAATCAAAATCAAACAAAAAAAAAATTAAATATGATTGTGAACTAAAGTTTAAAAATATCATCAATCATAAGAGTATAATTTATAAAAATAAATTCTAAATAATTTCAAGCAACCACGCGGGTTAGAATCAAATTATATTTATATTTGATCGATCATGAGAATTATATTAGTGTACAAAAACGAGATGTGATCTTAATGATATTAAGTATACTTTTAAAATAATTGTTTTTAAATTTAATTCAAAATTTTGATGTATTTTTATTAGCTAAGAAAATTAAATTATATTTTTTGGAAAGTATTGTATTAAATTACAATTAGTATAAAACTATTGTAAATCTAATTACAAAGTAACATATTTATAATCAAATTTTAAGCGATAATTTGTTTTTCAATGAATCAAATTTTAATTTATTTTCTGTATATGTTTCAGAACGTAAAAGTCTATTAGTTGAAAAGTACATTAAACAGAATTAAATTAAATAACACACTGCCAATAACTGTCTTATTATATAAAGGTTAGTTTTTAAAGTTATTAATTAACATGATCGTGACACATGGCGATTATATATTTAAAATTATGACATGTCTTAAATAATTTTTTCAATTTCAAAACTGAAACCAAAATAATGTAATAGTTAGTTTAAATTTTTAAGAAAACTTAAACATAAACTTTAAAAAAGTTAGTCTCCTTTTTTTAAACAATTTTAAACAAAAACTGTAAAAATTATATTTCAATATAAATAATATTTAATAATAGTATTTTTTAATTACTAATTAAAATGATTTTGAAACCTGAAAATTATATATTTAAGATTATCACATGTGCTAAACAACATGTTATATATTTTTTTTAAGAAAAACTTAAACCAAAACAATATAAAAAACAATTTAAAAAGTTAACTCTCCTTTTTTTAATTCTTATACAAAAACGTTTTTTTTTTAAACATTTCTGTATAAACGAAATTTTAACAATGGTATTTCATTTTTAAAACACTGGTTTAAGATAATTACAAGCTTGGTTTTTCAAAGTTGCTAACTAATATGACTGTGATACATGACAATTATATATTTTAAGATTATGATATGTGTTAAATAACAGTTTTTCTTTTTAAATTAAAACTTAAATCAAAAGAATATAAAAACAATCTAAAAGGATACTTTTTCTTTTTAAAAATTCTTAAACAATGAACAGTTTTTTAATATTTCCATATAAATAATTTTAACAATATCATTTCTTTTTTAAAACATGTCCTAAGATAATTAATACTAAACATTATTTTAAGATAAATTTCTATACAAATTAAAATATCTACAAAATATTTTTCTTATAAATATTTAATAAGATTTTTTCATGTTAAAAATATTAAACCAAAGAGAATTGTAATAGTTTAGATGAATATAGCCAAACGCGAATACATATAAAGAAGGTAGAAGTATTGGATATAGAAACTTCTATTTTTTAATATTTTCATATAAATAAAATTTTAACAATATTATTTCGTTTTAAAAACATGGGCTTCAGGTAATTACAAACTTAGTTTTTTTAAATTGCTAATAAGCATGATACTAACACATTACAATTATATATTTAAGATTATGGTATGTATTAAACAAAAATTTTGCATTTAAAAAAAACATAAACCAAAAGAACATAAAAATAGTATAAAAAATTAATTTCCATTTTTTAAAACCAAAAGAGACTTTTTATTATATCTTTTTTTAAATCCTGATAAAGGTAACTATATAATTTTATTAATTAATGAATTTCTTTTTAAGAAGTTAATGATAAAGATAAATACTAAAGCCGGTTTAACTATAAAAAGTAAATTGTAAAAGATGTAGAGATATTAAAAATGAATTGGAATAATTCCACTTTTAAAACAATATTTGATGTTTACTGAAAGAATTTTTCACTAATAATTTATTTTAAATACTAATCAAAATATAATTGTAAAAAATATGTTTCGTAATTTTTATTTTCTAAAATCATAAAAAGAAACCATAAGAAATTTTGTTTTTTTGTAATAAATTTTGTTCTTTTTTAAATCCTAAACAAAAAAAAATTTTATTATATATTTTCACGCATGTCATTATATAAAGCTTATTTTCCAAGTTGCTAATTAACATTATCTAGGACATATGTCGATTATATATTTAAGATTATGACATGTGTTAAATAATGGCTTAAAAAAATTCAACTAAAAGAATTTAAAGTTAGTTTTTATTTTTTTTTTAAAACTTAAACAAAAAATTATCTTATTATAAAAAGCTTGGTTTTCAAATTTGTTAATTAATACGATCACAACACATAAGAATT